ATGGCCTCCTTCCTGGTCTCCCTGCCTCCGGCTTCTTCTCATGAACCACCATGCAGCTAAGGTGTGTGGAGGTGGGGTGGGGAAGGGGGTGCGATTTACTAAAATACAAGCGGTTCACATCACTCCCCTGCTGGGAATAGTTTTCAGTGCCCCCCACAGCCTTGTCTCTTGGTCTTAAATCCAAGCTCCCAACTTCCTTTTCCATCCTCATCCACTGACACCACCTGCTCCCGTCCTCGAGTCCCACCCAGACAGGCCCCTTGCTCTCCCAGGCTTGGGGGCTCACCCAGCTAGCTCAGCCCTGCAGCTTTGCAGGTGCCGTGCCTCTCCCAGGACGCCCTTCTCTTTTGTTCTCCTGGTGAACACTGGACCTATGGGACTAGGGTCAAAAGTCTCCCTCCCAAGGGGCCTTTCTGACCTCCCCAGGCTGACATAGGGACCTTCTGCTGTGCTCCCACTGTTTATTTTTTGAGACCCAAAGCCCCTTGTGTTATAACTGTCTCAAGAGCAGGGGACATGCTTTCCTTACTTGTTTCTATGTACCCAGCACAGGGCTAGGCATACAGCAGGTACTCAGTAAATGCTGAGGGAATGAGTGATTTGAACTGCAGTATTACCAGGGCACCCTCTATGCCAGGGAAGGTGTGTCCGTCAGGGCTGAGGTATGTAGGCAGCACTCTCAGTGGCTCACGGCAATGGGGAGGGAGCAGTGGAAAATTTGGGACAGACATTTGATCTATCAGCCCCTCCCAGGGAGGCAGGAGGTGAGAGGAAGAGGGGAGATGATCCCCGCCCTAATCCTCAGCCCCTCTGGGGAGAGAGGAATGCGTCTTCGGAAGTGGGGAGGTCAGGGCCCTCCCCTGGGAAGCCCAGCAGGCAGCTCCCTGCACACACTATTCAGGCCTGCTGGGGTTCTCCTACCAGGAAACCCTCAGATGGTTACCCCCCTCCTCCAGCCCCAGCCCTGTGCATGCACCACCCCTTCTGGCTCTGGGGCCCTGTGCAGTCACTCTGGAACTCCAGGAAAAGGAGGTGGAGCCAGGGCAGTGAGGGCTGAGTTGCTGAGATCTCTTGTCCTTTTTTTCTTGAAGTGTAGCCATAGGAACCAAGATTTCACAGCAAGAACTTCTTAGTTGCGTACTTTTTCTGCAGCTATTGCTCTCACTCTCTTGCTTGTGTTGAGTTCATGGCACAGGCTCTTATACCCACATATAGACTTACAACAACACATACACACATACATGCACCACAGCAGAGATCCTGTCTTCATCATCTGCTGGCTCACCGCTGAGGACAAAGAGCTCACTCCCTCTGAAGGCCTCCTGCTCCACTGGAGAACAGCTCCGGCTTTAGATCCAAACAGGCCTTCCTTTCATCCTGTTTTTGCCCTGGCTTACTTGCAGTTTCCCACAGAATCCCCTGCCCGTCTTCATCTTGCAGACCCATCCCCCCGGGGTACCCTGAATACCCCCAGAAGTCCCCTATCCCAGGTGTCCTCTGCCCCAGGCTGCCTGGCCACCTGTGCTTGGGTGAGGTCCAAACGGTCCAGAGAAGATGAAGCCCTCCCCTACCCTCTGCTCCTTGAGACCTCTCCAGAGTGGCACACCAGCTGCAGATTGGTAAGGGCCATGGAGAGCGCTACAAGGCCAGCGGGAGTGGCCAGTCATGAGGCAGGCCTGCCTCCCTCCCCATTGGCCACAGCGTTGAAGAAGCAGTGAACAGACCTTGAGACACCGCCTGCCTGGCCCCCTGCAGGCATGTCTGGGAATGAACATAGACTGAGGTCTGTGCTGCTGGGTTCTCTTTTATTAACCAAGTAGGACAAATAACAAATCACAAGGTCACAGGAAGTAAGACCAACGGACGGACAGATACACAGGACAGAGAGTCATGCTGCACTACACAGGGGGCAGGGCAGGGGAGAGGGGTGATATGAGTCTTGTTTTTTCAACTAACAGAATAAATAAATATAGTACACAGTGTTTTTGCCACAGGCTGGCACGACCTCTAAGCACAAATGGTCACAAAACAGCTGGTTTGGAAAGTAGTCTGTACAGCCCGCTAGCCTCAGAGTTGGGGTGAGGACCTGGGCCAGGGTGGGGACCCAGGCCCCTGGACCATGCTCTGGGGGAGTGAGGAAGGAAGGAAAGGGAGATCTCACATAGGAAGGAGAGGTGAGGCATGAGGCTTTCCTGGAAGGAACAGTGAGAGCTGGAGCCTTGGGCTCTTGGCCCTCTGGGTGGCCCAGCAGACCTCCAAGCGGCTCCAGCTTCAGTGTCAGGTGTGCTGGCCCCTCCAGCCCACAACCTCTGGCTCCTTTAGGACACACATGGTACTGCTTGCAAGTACAGTCTCCTCTTGCTCTCCAGCTGCTTTCAGCACCTGAGGCTGGTGCTCTAAACTGACTTGAGATCCACCCAAGGGCAGGGACCACATAGACCTCTCCTGCCTTCTCTGGGCTCGTGGATGTGGGTCGATTGGATGGGAGAAACGTTGACAAAGATCTGAGGGAAGGCAGGCTGAGCCTAAGGTGAGCATGGCTCCTGCCATGAGAGAACATGACTCATGGGTGGACTTGCCCCTTAGAAGGTCAGGGAAGGCTTCCTGGAGGAGGTGGTAATGTCTAGGACTGTTAGATTCCAAGGCCCAGTGATAGTCACTTGCACCCAGAGACAGACAAAAAGCTTCAGCCCCCATGCCTAGTCCAGATGAGATTTTTTTTTGTTTCAGAAACAGAACTTTCTGGAGCTGATCTTAGAGGACAGTCCACGGGCCATGAGCCACAGAACCCCTCCTAAACCAAAAACTCCTTCTGTCTCTCCTGGGGTCTCTGCCAACCTCCCGTCCCCCCACCCTGCCTAAGTCTCTCCTCCTTTGATGTTCCCCTGGCTGTTGGATTCACCTTCCAAATTCCAGTTCCCAGCAAGACACTCCCTGTCCAAAAACCCTCCACTGCCTGTCTTGGTGCTTGCCCCATGGAGGTGAGGTCTTTAGCTTAGATTCCAGGCCCCTCAGCCCCGCTCCTCATGAAGCCAGCCACGCTCTTCCCCATGGTCCTCTGTCTCACCTCTCTTGCTTTGTTCAAATGGTTTTCCTGGCCCAGGCTACAATTCCCCTCACTTTTTTCTTTTTTTCAGGTCAACTTCTCTAAGCAGGGGATGGAGGGTTCAGTGGTGAGCCACAAAAGGTTAGAGATCATAACCAGGAATCTGTCCGAGCCATTCCCTACCCCCGCCCAGAGCTCCTGGTGACCCCAGAGCTGGCACTAGAACTCAAGAAAAGCAGGATCAAACCTGGATTGTCTGAACTAGAAAAGACCCATTATACTTGTTGGGAAACTGAGGCAGTGCCCACAGGGAGGCTGTGCATCCAATACCCATTGCTCCACCGCAAAGCAACAGTAATTTTCTAATTCATACGTTGTGCTTCTGATAGCCTTTTTTGTTGTTGTGCTATTAACTAACTGCAAGGTGGTAAGCACAGAATGCAGAATGTTAGAACTGGATAGAACCTTCCAGGCCATCTAATCCAGATGGAAAAATGGGCCCAGAGAGGCTACAGGTTTGCCCCAGGTCACGCACTTTGGAAGGGAGTGTGCTGAGCTAGATTTCCTGGCCATAAACAGGAGCACACCTCTCCGTGCCAGTGACTAGCTGGACAGAAGCCCTTACTTCAGCAGTTGTCTCTGTGACAGGAAGCCAGCAGAAGCCTGAGACTGTACCTTGCTGTGTGGTTGGCACTCACCATGATAAGCAGCCAGAACTCCACCTGCATTCCTGCTTGGACACACTGCTGGGATGGACGGTAACTGCTGAACCTGGAGGCTGGGGTTGCGGGTGAGCAGGATCAGCCCCATTCTCTCTGAGAGCACCCTCCCCTGCTGCCTTTCTCTAACCAGGGAAGTCACACCAAAGAGAGCACTAGAGCCCTGGGTTCAGTCCCGGGTGAACGCTGGCACCAGGCCTCGGTCCTCGGGGGACTTAGAGTCAAGACCGCTGGCCATCCTACTGCCCGCCCCAGCCTGACGCTGACTCCCCTTCTCCTCAGTCTTGGAACTGGAGCCTCAAAGCTGGGAAAAGAGAAGAGAAAGTGACCCATGGCCCCTTCTAGATGTCAGGCCAGGGGACCAGTGCCACCTCCTGCCTGCATCTCCAGGGTCTCCAGCTCGGGCTGGGCCTCGTTGTTGCCTCTGTTGGGCATAGAATGGAATAGCTGCCTGTAGAAGGTGCAGGTTGGGGGACGAGACAGGCAGGCAGGGAAGAAGCAGGAGGGAGAAGGGAAGGAGAAGAACAGGAAGAAGCGAAATTACTAAAACCAAACAAACCACAACCCCAAGCAAAACACAGCTTGGAAATTAACAACACTGACACAGCCCGCACAGAAGGAAGAAACCAGGGGCAGGCGGAGGAGGCACGGGAAAAAGATCGAGGGTGGGGAAGACAGAGGCTAGGTATCAAGGGGGGCGGGGACCGGGACAGAGGCAGGGAGAAGGAGATCAAGGGACGAAGGAAAGGAGCAAGAGCTGGAGTGAGCTGTGGAAGCTGTCGGTGGAGGAAGGGTGGCAGTAGAGAAGAGACGGGAAGGGGGCAGGGGCCTGGGGCAGGCAGGTGCCTGAAAATATAGCTTTATATATTTATATTTATATCTCACATTCCACACATCAACTCACTAGGGGGCAGAGGGGACGGAGGGAAGGGAGGAGGTGATACTGGGTGGAGATCTAGCTAGAGAGCCTCTCACTCCCCCAGGAAAGCTGGGGGCACCCCACCCTCTCACCTCCCCCCCCATTAGGCCTCCATAGGGTCAAGCAGGGCCATGCAGAGGGTGTGTATGTAGATTTCACCTCGGGCTGGGGCTCTGGGGGAAGGGGACAGGGAGTGTGACTCCAGACCCAAGGATCTCTAGGCTCACAGAGTTAACTCCTTGAGAGCCATCTGGGGATAACCATGGGGCTGGGAGGGGAGCACCCAAGGCCGCTGGCTGGGTTGGAGCCCAGTCAGTCAGTTGGGCAGCGTATCGAGTCCCAGGGAGGCTGCGTGCTGCTTGGCCCTGAGCCGCAGGTTCTCGATGCTCGTGGTTTTACTGTTCAGGGCAGCTGAGGCAGGTGGCAGGCCTGCTGGGGGCGCGGACAGCAGTGGGGACCCCCACACGCCGGGGTGGGCAGCAGCGGCTGCTGACAGGGACTGGTAGTAGGACTGGCAGTGCAGAGAGCCCAGTGGGGCCATGTTGACGCCCAGGTAGGGCACAGCAGCCGCCGCGGCCGCAGCCGCAGCCGCAGGGGCTGGGCCTCCCACTTCAAAGGATGAGTAGTGCACCAGGTTGTTGGTGGCCGCCATGTGCTGGCGGAATTGCTCCTGCAGACGGAAGAGGCTCAGCGGGGACGAGGAGTAGGAGTGGGAGGGGCCCAGCAGGCTGCCCCCCGGGGCTGCAGGAGCTATGCCCAGGCTGCCTGGAGAATCTGCAAGCAGAGAACCAAGTACCAAGTACTCAGGACAAGGGGGTTGGTCTGCTAGGAGGAGCTCCCTCAGCTTTCCCACCCCCCTGGCACTGCAGACAAGATAAGCTTTGGTTGGAACCATATCCATCTCATCTCAACCAGGGAATCTCCTGAAGCATAGCTCAGGATCTTGGGAGGGAGAGACCCAGGCTTCCCGGGGAAGCTCCAGAGACCCCACCAAGGCCCCCATGTCTGAGTCCTAGGGGAGCCCTTTTTTCTTTTCAAGGGTTGTCACCTCCTTTTCCCCTCTCCTGCCCATGCTCCCATCCCCTCCCTCCAGCTCTCAGTTCACAGTCCCTGTCCCCTCCCTGCCTGGGCTTGGGGTTTGGGTCTGAGGCATGCCTCATGCCAGAGGTCTGTGCCTTCATAAACATGGCTCTGAGTCTCTGCTGGTAATCTCTGGCACTGAAAGGTATTCACCCAGTATGCACCAGTATGTCTGTACTGGTCGTTAAAATAATGAACTACTTCCAAATGGTTGATAAATAATATTTGTCCTGAGCTCCCCGAGTGCCCCTCCCCTGCCACCCAGCCCCTCCCTCAGGACCCCCTAGACCTTCCCATGATTCAGCAACTAAAGGATGAACAACTGGCACAGGCCTTTCTAACTGGTCATGCCCCTGAGTGCCGGTTGTCGACTATCCCCCTGCTCTGACCCACTTGGCATGCCCAGGCCGCTGTCAGACTGGACCCGCTGTGCTCCCTGAGCTGAGGCCCAGCCAACCCACAGCACCTCCCAAGCCTCACCTGCCTTGGGGCTGCCCCTCTTGCAGCCCAGACCCTTGCTCTCAGCCCCAGGGTTCTTCTCAGCTTTGGGGTCCTCAGTGCCTGCCCGAGGGTCTTCCTCACGGTCTGGCAGGTCCTCGGGGGCTGATTCACTGGCTGACTGCTCAGATAGGCTCAGGTGAAGCTCAGCAGGGGGGTCGCCGCTGGGAAGACTGGGGGGCTGGTCAGTGTCCAGCGGGGTGTCTGGGGTTGGAGCCTCAGTCTTGCCTTCCCCATGGGAGCCCTCAGCCTCCTTCTGCTTCTGGAGCTGCTCTTTCTGCAGGCTGCGTTGCTTCTTCCGGAACTTAGCCCGGCGGTTCTTGAACCACACCTGGGGACAGGGAGCAGTCAGAGGTGGGGAAGAAAGAAGTGGGATTGTGCAGAGCAGGGTGCGCTGGGACAGGATGTACATAATGACATTGCCCCACCTCTCTAGGAAACACATCCCCCCAATCTCTCCCAAAACTCCACTCCTGCCTTGGGTCTGAGGCATGTCCCCCCAAAATTTAATCCCCACTATAACTGTTGAGGGTGGGAAATCCTATGATAGTAATCGAAAGGTGGGGACTTGAAGAGGTGATTGGATTATAGGACCATGTGGTAGTGAACAGATTAAAAATGGTGGTCAGGGGCGTAGTTCTGAGGCCTTTAAAAGAAGAGGAGAGTTTGTCTTTCTCTCTCTCTGCTCTCTCTGCTCTGCCATTTCACAATGTGATACCCCGCATCACGGAAGTCCCCACCAAGACCCTCACCAGATGTGTTCCCTGGACTTTGGATGTCCCAGCCTCAGAAACTGTAAGCAATAAATTTGATTTTCTTATAAATTACCCAGTTCTAGGTATTTTGTTATAAGCAACAGAAACAGACTAAAACACCTCCTGTCACTGAAGGTTGATGCAGATGTCAGTTGCACCTTGGCCCCATTGAAGGGACGAAATGCTGGTTCCTGGGCCATGGGGAGCCAGACCAACGGCTGGTGCTTGTCTGAAAGGTCTAGTTAGGGGAGCTGGGCCTACCTGCACTCGGGCCTCAGGCAGGTTGGTGCACATGGCCAGTCTCTCACGCATCACCACATCTGGGTAGTGAGTCTTCTGGAAGGTCTTTTCCAGGGCTTCGAGCTGCTGAGCCGTGAATGCTGTGCGGCTGCGACGCTGTTTGCGGTGCTGGGAGCCATAACGGGCCTCCAAGATGATGTCTTGAAATGTACAGCCGTTGGAAGGCAAGGAGAGGGGGCCCATTTAATTATGGGAAATATGTTTTGATTCTTACCCTGCTCTGACCCACTGCAGATGCCCTGGCTGCTGTCAGAACTGGCCCCTGGCCATTTGCCCTTGGAAATCACCCATCCCTACTCCACGTGGCTGGGGTTTCCAGATCTTTCCACCCCATCATCCATTATCAGGACCACAAAGTCTAACTCAGCTCCATGAAGGGCTGTCAGGCACGTGATTGAGGGAGGGGTCTTCCTTATTTGACACTGGGGGTAGGTAGGTGGGTATTGCCCCAAGATCCTTAAAGTCCCAGGATACTATAATATTCTGAGACTACATGATGCTAATAATCTATAAGTCCATGTCACAAAGGTTCTAATACTCTATGGCCTTTAGATTCTGGATATTAAGTCTTCCTTAGATTAGAAAATTGACCCCTGCCCATGAGAAGCCAGGCTGTGAGCTAGAATTCATCAGCATCTGATTCTCTGTTCTCTGCATGTAAGTCTCATCATCCCAGGTGGCCTATGCGTCTCTGATGGCCCGACCTGAGCTCCTGCTCTCACATCTCCTGAATAGGAAGCATGGTTCTGACAGGCCCTCAGAGCTCAGGAAAGACTTGTTGCACCCAGAATTGACCCTTCTGACTGCCTCCCCAAGAACATAAGGACAAAGAGATCAGGTTCCAAACACTGCGGGCTTGAAGGGGAGGCAGGGCTGGTAGACCATTAATTCCACAGTCCCGTCCACATGTCTGGTAACACAAAAACCACCCAGGATAGGCATCTGCCTAGGGCTGGTGTCTAGCCTCCAGCCTTTCTGCTGGACTAGTCTCTGGAGGATGGACAGTAACCTCTCTCCCCACTGCCTCCCAGCATCACATAGCAGATCCTGCCCTGTCTATGCTGAAGGGAACCCGAGTTGTGTCAGCCTCTGCATGAGGCTACCAGAGTCCGGCCCTTGCACTCTAGGGCTTGGGGAGCCGTCTGTAATACCCTAAATGGGAAGGCACAACTAGGTGTCCCAGAAGCCCCAGACTTTGGGATGCTCCGTCTTCAGTTTAAAGAGGGAGCACTGAACCCCTCACAAACTGGCCTTCATTGCAGCCTGGACTAAGCCCTGAGCTTATGCTTGTCATCCTGGGGCAGGAGAGGGAGTGGGGACTTCCCAGTTGGCCCCACCCTGGTTGGGGGAGCAACAGCTCAGCAGGCTACTACTGGCCCCAGGGGCTGCAAGGGAGCAGGGACTCTAAAGCTGTGACTCTAAAGCTCACATATATATATATATATATATATATATATATATATCAAAACAGCAATATATATAT